ATACTATTCTTGTATTCACAAAAAAAGATGAAGCTGTTAAGGTTCAAGTATTTGATCATTGGTCATCAGATACTAAACAAGATGCTTGGTTTATAGCCTTCTCATTTGATGCAATATTTGAAACTTTCAAGATTAAATCAGAATGGATAAAGATATTTTTAGATAATGGTAAACATTATCACAGTTCAGAAGTACTAGTTATAGTTTGAAATTAGTATTAGTAATATAATATTGACATGCATGAATGATTTTTTTTTGAAACTGGAGAAGCAAAATCACTTGTTGACTCACATCATGTTACAGTAAGTTTATTTTTTTGAATTACTTTATCTAGTTATAGTTATTAATTTTCATTTTAACAGATCTTACATATGATAAAAAGATATATAAGAATAGGATATACTTTAAACTCAGAAGAATCAATCATAATAACTATTCAAAGTCTTGCAGAAATTTCTATTGCAAATATGGAATCCCGAAGAGATTATGTAACAGTTAAAATAATAGATAAGATATCATATTTATATTACTAAGAATGATCTATTTTCAGTAACTATGCTGGTTTTATCCAAGGCAGAGAATTGTCACATATTGAGAAATGGATCCATTTTTTACTTTTTGATATAAAAAAATTGATGAAAAAGCCAATTCATAAGCTAATACCTAAAGTTTTATCTTATACAACCTCTCAAAGTTTGTGAAAAATTCCTATTTCTCAAAAAAATAGTAAGCATAAGATTAAATTAAAGAGTTAGTATTTGGAATAATATCTAATTACCTTATATAAATATATATATCAAATTAAAATTAGCTGAAGAGAAGAATAAAGGTAAGTGAAAAGTTGTAAATCAGAGATTTTCTATTATTTTGACAATAAATTTTAATTGAGCAAACAAAAATGAATCAAGTAATCCTATATTTGAATCAGATTTTTCTCTCATAAGTGATTAGATCTTAAAAAATAAACAAAAGTTAGGAAAATATAGTTCTGAAAAAGAATAAGTGAAAAAGTAAAAGATTATCTGAAAGTATTTTTTATAGTGGATGATGCAGACAAAACTAAATATATATCAGTTGAGAAGATGATAAAAGTATTGAATGAATTAATCAAGAAAGGCAAATTTAAGGCTAATAAAGTTCCTAAAGTCAAGACTATTAATTTGTGGATTACTAAATATTTGCATATAGTACACATACTTGCTGCTAAAAAAAGATAGAAAGTTATAATCCAAACTGATGAGTCAAGTCAGATTGCAAGTGTAAAGAGAAATATAGTTATTAAAAATATGAATGAGTAAGACATAACACATAATGTTTCTAGCAGCCAAAGACAGAGTAAATGAAGAAAAAAGTCTTAATTTTGGCTGAAAATAATAAAATATATATAGTATTGATTATATAATAATAGATTTAATTGAATTTATCTGAAAAATTTCTATTTTTGATGTAATAAAGATCAAAATAAAAGCTTTCAAAGATATCTTTTTTATAAAAATCAAATTTTGAGACTTTTTTATGCTATTTGTATTTTTATTGGTCAAAAACATATGACTAACTGGAAAGTTGTGTAAGAACTGATTATTTCTATCTTTGATTAGTTATATATTTGATCAATCTTAGTGTAATACTAATTGCTAATTCTTCTTCATTCATAGATCATCAATTAAGTATTAATTATAAAAGAAATAAAAAATAATTTGAATCTTAATAAGTTAATTAAAAATTATAATTTAAATATTTAATTTTAATTATAATATTACTTTATATAATTTTTTTAGTTTAAAGATTTTAAATTCTTAAAATATTTTTATAATTTTAATTTAATTAAAGACTAATTTAATTTTATTTTATTAATAATCTAAAAATTATTTATATATATTTTTATTATGAATATTATAAGTTTTATTGATAGAATTATTAATTTATTTATTTTTATTAGATAAAATTATGTTTAATTTATTATTATATAATTTTAGCTTAAAGTTATAATATATTTAGAAATATTATAATTAATTATAATTATATTATTAATAATATTATTAATTAGTTAATTAAATTATTTTAATTTTAAATATTTTAATTAATTTGTATTTAATTTAATATTTTAAAATTATAAAAATTTAAAGAATTTAATAATATTAAAATTATTAAATTCTAATTATCAAGTAATTATAATTATAAAATATAAATAATAATAATATAAGAAGATAATTTTTATTAATTAAATAAGTTAAAATTAAATATAAAATAAATTAAAAATAATAAAAAAAATAAATGTATATTAGAAATATTAGTTAATATTTTAAAGATTATTTTATTTCTTAATTATTTTTTTATTATTTTATTTATTAATTATAAAAATTTCTTTTATAATAAATTATATTATATTAATTTTTATTTATATGAAATATCATTTAATTTATATTTAATTATATAACTTAATTAATAAAATATTAAGTGCTATATTAAATAAATTAGTGAATATTAAATATAATATTAATTTAATTATTATAATATTATTTAAATTAATATTTTATTATATATAATTTAAAATATTAATAATAAATTAAGAAATAAAATATATTTTAAAAGATAATTAAAAGATAAGAATTATAAATAAATAAAAATAAATATAATTATAATAATTAATATAAGATTAATAAGAAAAATAATAAAGAGAATTAAAGAAATAAGAAAAAGATAAAGAATTTAAAGAATGATAAAATAAAACAAAGTAATATGACTGAGATCATAAGATAAAGATAAAGAATAAATTAATGATAATATCAAAAATATTTAAATTATTAATAAGAATTTTCAAAATTCATTATATCAAGAAAATTAAATATTATTTTTGAGTTTAATTTTATTTCATCATGAGTTTAATTCATCTTTTAATAAATTATTCTTGATATAATTTGACATAAATAGTAATTATTATTAAAAAAATTAATTATCTCATATTAATTAATAAAAAAATATTTATATTTTATTCTTGTTCAAATAAGCAAATATATATTATAATAAATTCTATTCTTGAAATTAGAAACCCCTTTTCATTTTACAAATAATTCCAATTAACATGACATGAAAAAGAAAAAAGTTTTATGACAAAATTTTATAGAACATATAGAGGTTAAATTTTCTAATCAAGATGTTAATTGAATTTATAAAATACAACTATATATAGATACGTTTAATGATGCTCAAGAGTATTCATTGACTTTTCTTAGCAAACATCAATAAGTTTAAAAACGATTTTTTTAAATCTCTATAGGATATACGCATATCACGAATTGTTTTACTTGTCTCTTGATAAGTTAAATAAGTGACAAAATGGTAAATGACTACCACTCGAAAGAGAGGATAGCATGCAAAAAGAAAATAGTGATGACCAACGGCGTAATAAATTGATCCACAAGATTAATACGCGATCCTATACATTCCAACACCGATTGCACCTGGCATGTAAAATGCATATCAATAAATTATTTTATATAATCCACGTAAGGAAACATACTTACTTATTCCAATAATACTCAATCCGACACTTCTTAATCGCAAATACGGTATAATTTCTTCGGATTTCTTAGCGAATTGTATCATTGTCCTACGCTGTCGTAACGCGTATAAACCAAGCCCAATGAATGCTGTGCCGGCTACAAGTTTGCACGCGTAACAATCTTCATAATCAGATTCTTTCGTAATTTTTTTTGTTGTTGCTATTGGATTTTTTGTTTCGTCAAAATTTTTGTTATTGTTTGATGTCATTTTTGAAAACAATTATTTAAATTAATTGAGCCAATCGAATATTTAAAATCTAAAAAATCATGTGATGGAGATAATAATTTAAAAAGTGAATTGTCTATTTTAGAAAATATTATAATCGTCGAGTCACAATCCAAAATTGATACAATATAAATTAAACAACATAGTGTGTATAAATTATTTACTATTGACCGCGAGGTTAAAATAATCATGAGCTCCTTTAATAATTCTGTTGATACGAAGAAAAAGAGAAAATGAAATCTCATCTATATTTAATGTGTTTTTTAGCTAGTAGCTACGCGTGAAAGTTCCACCGAGTTTGTTGCACCAAGCATACGTTTGATGTCACCGTAGATGGCAAATTGACCAGCTGTTAAGGTTCCAACCATGACAAGACGAGCACCAAGACCCAGAAATAGTCCTCGAACACCAAGTTCTTTTGACAATGTAATGAGCCGAGAAGTGATGGACCCCGGAGCTCCCTTTTGTTTGTTAATCTTGGAAAGTAGAGTGTCTGCTGGCTGCGATATTACTGCTGCAGCGAGACCAGCAACAAGACCGGAGCCAAGATTGATAGCAGTATTGGCTGATACAGAGAGTTCATCTTTTGGAGTTTTGATGACTCTATATATTGCTTCCTATATTGATTTATATCCCGATAAATAGTTTCATTAATTGTACGCTGCTTTATATAAGGATTTATAATTCTGAAGATAAATACAAACCACCGTCTTTTCGTAAACTGCAAATTTAGCCATCGTATATGGGATTTGCTATCGTAAAGAAAATTTCATTGTTAGCAAATATATGGGAAACTTTTATCCTATTGATTTGATTATACACACTTTGAATAAAATTGGACCAAATCCTGAATAAAATCCACGAATAACGCCTTCATCCCTAAGAAGACGAGCAAAGCCGCTCGCAAGACCTGAAGCAAAATTGGGTTGCGATACTAATCGAATACGAGTAGCCTCCAAAGGACATAATGCAATATCGGCAAAGAATTCTGCGATAGCGGCAGATCCTAGATACACGGCCGTACGATTCGCAGTGGCTTTTTCCACCCCAAGAGTATCGATCATTGTTTTTTTCCAAAACTCATATCCGCCAAATTTGAAGGCACCTTGTAGAAAATAACCGGCGAATGTGGGTCCAAAACCAGTGGCGAGTGTTGCTACACCTTCATTTCGGATAATTTTACGTGCGGAATCAACCATGCCTTTGTTGTAGGTGGCAGGATCCAGTTGCATACGCGTTTTCACCACGTCAACTATGAGGAAAAATCAGATCAATATTAGTATTATCCTTCTTCTCGTGTAACTTTAGAAGCAACTTGTGACGAGAGGTTAGATGCTGAATGAAAATTCTTCAACGCGCCCGTTCCGCTAATAACGCTTATTACAATTCTAACTCTTGAAGATTCGTACCTGGTGTTAGAGCACCATGTGTTACACCACAACATACCGCACCAGAGAAAGCAAAACGAGCGTATAAATCTACACCGGTAGGCACAACAGCTTGTGTTTTTAATGAGCCAAGAACAGGTTCAACTGTGGATAAAGCAGATGACTTATCTGAAGACATCTCGATTCAAAAATTTTTATATAAAAGAAGAATAGAAGTAGGGGGAAAAAAATGATTTTTTTAAAAAAAAAGGATGGAGTTATTTATTATATTTAGTATTTCCTCGAAATGTAAAAAAAACGATCAACCAACTACACCGAATGTTTTTTTAATTTTTTTGACACAATTGCCAAATCAGGTTGAGCTATAAAGTACAATGTAACGCAGAGAATAAAACGGACCCTTATTACAAAAGCGTTGTTATTACTCATCTTAAGTCATGTGGGGCTGAATTTTATTTATCCTATGGTCTAAAAATAATGAACCACACTACATTATGACGTTTCTAATTTTTGATAATGTGCTATTAACCTTCGTGTCGATTTTTTTGGTTGTGGGCGTGATAGTTGTAGGTGTGGTTTAAAGATAAGGAACGTCTTTTTATCCGGAGTTTATTTTATTGACTAGTTTATCTTCTCTCCTATCTTTGGAAAATAAAAAAAGCGGGACTTAAGCTATTTAGAAAGAAAGCAAAAAGCGATACGTTTCTTTTGTTAGGGTTATCCGATTCCGGGAAAACCTCACTGTTTGCATTGGTAATTAAATTATTACAATAAAATTGGTGCGCACTTTTTTTTTTACTATTTATGTTTATTTATAACATGACGTATCTTTTGGATCGTTAGTTACGATATGGAACAATTGCCGAGACGCATACGTCAATGCAAGAGAATGAAGCATATGTTATACCTACGATCGAACTCGTTGGCGAAGTAGTAATTTTTTTAATAATAATAATAATAATAATAATAATAATAATAATAATAATAATAATAATAATAATAATAATAATAATAATGACACAAAGATTTAATCGTTTACGTTATTCTTTATTCTTTTTTAAGATTGAGCCCCTTACCAAGGAACCAGTTCACATAGTTGATCTACCAGGCCACGAAAAACTACGATTCAAATTCATGGAATTTGCACCAATTACTCGTGGAATAATATTTTTGGTTGATAGTGCGACCTGTTCAAAGAATTATCGACAGATCTCAGAGTAATAATGATTGAGTTAATGATTTGTAATTGAATTCAAAGAGGGCATTTTTTACATAGTTGATATGTTTATTTTTTCAAACAGGTATCTATATGTTATTTTCTCGAATAAATATATCTCCAAGAAAAAAGTGCCGGTTCTGATTTCGTGCAACAAGAATGATTTGTTGACTGCGTTACCACCCGAAAAAATCCAAGTATCATTGGAGAACGAAATGTGAATACACGTGCTGTAAAATTTTATGACATCATTTTTTTTCCTTTATGATTTACAATTTTATAATACATACATATATATATATATATGTATGTATGTTTATATATATTTAGAAACCGATTACGTGCAACACGCACTGCCGCATTAGAGCATCAAGATTCGTCGTCTGAGGATGTGGAATATTTGGGCTACGAAAATGAAGATTTCAAATTCGAACATTTGGAGAATCGCGTAGAGTTCATTTCTTGTTCTGTGGCGAATAATGAAGTTAATAATTTGAAAGAGTGGATTTCAGATGTGTATTCTGGCTATTAAACAAGGGGATGATGAGATTTATTTGTCGGAAATATTCACCGGGTGATGTTAAACACACAAATGACAATAACATGTAGAGGAAGATAATGAAAATTGGACGTGTTTTTTATTCGCATATCCATTCATTTTTAATTTATTTGAGTAGGTTTCTTCTATGTTTTTTTTTGCAAAAAAAAAAATCGAGTGGAAAGCAAATAAATAGCAGCGAGTAGAAATTTTTTATATTGGTGAATATACAAGTTCTCTACAAAGCATCGCATAGTAAAAAAAAAAAGTAAACGAAAAAATCTCAATGTCAAATAATAATTATCTAGAAAAAGATATATAAATTTTGCAAAGGCAATGATAACAGAGGATTATAGTGTTGAATCTTTTTCCAAATATAAAAAAACTTCACGTAGAATGATTACTAGGATTTTGATGATGATGCCTCAAGGCATTTGCAACAAACACAACACCACCATCATCCTCGTCACTATCGGTAAGATTATTTTGACTATCACCACCATTAATACCTGATGACATACCATTATGATTTTGATTTTGATTTTGCTTATGCAAACCCAAAAAAATTTTTTCGTCATCATCAGTTCCTCCATTGTCCTCTTCATGTGTGATTTTATTACTATTATTATTGTTTGTGTTATTTGATTGGTTTGAATTTGATCCCGCCGACAATATTTCATCTTCACCTTCTGTTGTTGTTGCTACTACTTTTTCTTCTTCTCCTTCCTCATCCTCATTTTCAACACTCAGCACCCAACTCTGATTCAAACTACTATGTGAATTATTGCTTTTTCTTTTTGAAGCAAAACTTCGTGAACTCGGTCGCGTGTAATGATCTAATACAGCGACAACAGTGTTTTGTGACGAAGTTGTAGGTGAAATTCCAAGTGTCGATCGTGAGGATGATGACGAGAAAGAAGTTTGCTGGTCCTCGTAATCGATTCCATAGTTTTCTAGATCTTTGGATATTCGTCGTCGTGCTGACGAAGTCTCTGGCAAACTCGAACCATAGATACCTGACTGCCGTCGATTATTCACGGTTAATAGATTATGACTGTTATTATTGATATTACTATTATTATGGTTATGATGATTATTAGTAGGTGACATTATGGCAATCGGGGCAGTAGCAGTATTTATCGTCGAGGAAATCGTGTATGCAAGATTATCTGTTCTCGTGATTTTTTATTGGAAAGTTTTAAATTATTAGTATATCTCTGATGGTCGTCAATGCCAAAATTACTTGGGAGTCACCTTCAGATTGTGTTGATGGACCAGATACGGATTTTGATCGTTTACGAAAACCTAATGCTAGATTACCCAACGATACAGAAAGCTTTCGGAATTTCTTTTTCAGGCGATCCTATTTATTATTAAATGTATCATCAGGAGAGTGGACATTTACATGTGTAGAAAGCATCCGAAATAAAAAAGTTAAAAAGTTAAACGTCATTAATAAATGCTTACGATAAGTGTATATGCCCCCTTGACTTCATCATCTGTGACAGTGACAGCTTGGTATTTTTTCGGGTCTGTATCCTCTCGCCATTTATCTGGATTAGGCAGGTCGGCAACCACCCAAGGATGTTTCTATTCGATTAAAGATCAAATTAATATTAATACCAACATTTCATATATAGTTTATTGGAAAAGAAACAAAAATTGTAAAGAAATCCAATACCTTGACTTCTTCTAAAGTAATTCTCTTAGATGGATCTTTCTCAAGTAATCGCATGAATAAATCCTTCAGATCGTTAGGAATCTCTACATTCTCAGGAAACTCGAGCGTCTTTCGCGGTATAACATCAAAAAACAATTCAAACTCCGTGTCTGCTATAAACGGACACCGGCCAAAAATAAAACAATATAATGTCACTCCAAGTGCCCAAATATCAATAGCTTTAGTAATTGGTGGGCGATGCATCGATCTATTCGTCGTAGGTGACGATGGTCCGACGATAGAGGGTGATGATGTTGGATCATGATTTGTTATGGCGGATACAATTGAACTAGATGTAAAATCCGGAGGAATGTCGCCTGATCGATAGGTATTTCGATTATTAATAAAATTTCTCATAATTCCTAGTCTTTATACGTAGTTTACTCACCTGTAAAACATAATTCCGGTGCAAAAAAAGCAGGACTCCCCGCCGTTTTCGCCAACTCTGTGTCATTGCCCGACGCAAAATTCTGAGCTCCGTTATCTTGTGCGGCGGCAACACGTTGTTGATTAAAATGTGATACACCGAAATCAGATATTTTTACCACATGATCGGCGGTAAGTAATAAATTTGCGGGTTTTATGTCTCGATGTATGATTCCTTGGTGATGTACTATTTAAAGTATCGCCAAATTAATAGTCAAATTTCGTCCGGTAAAGGCAATGAAAAAATTTACTATCTAATATTTTGAACCTACGATATTCCAAGCCCAACACTACATCTCTAAAGATTCGTCTTGAATCTTCAATATCCATAATTGGATTGTCATTTTCATCTTTCCACTGTATTTCTCCTCCTTCCATGTACTCGAGAACTTATCGGTATAGTAAATATACATATATACACCAAAATGATCAAAATATCGAAGTTAATCTAATTGCAAATTTCTTCTTCCGGACTTTTAATAATTTAAAAAATTATATATATCTCTCTCTTTGTTGTAGCTTGATTCACTTATCTAATTTTTATCGCCATTAATAATAATAATTCAATAATATAAAAGATCTCCGAAACAACAAAGACATATTATTAATATAAACATACCCATATATATCTTTTTGCTCATCGGGTCGTCAATCACTTCTTTTAGACTAACTACATGTGGATGTGCACATTTTTTCAGGATGGCAATTTCTTTTCGTATTTTTTGTTCATTTGATGGCTCGTTTTGTCGTTGTCCTAAGCGCCGTCGTGGTGTTCGATCTACTATTTTTATTGCCTATCACCAACAAAAATTGAATTATGATGACGATTATTATTATTATTATTATTATTATTATTAATACAAGTTAGTAGATAATTCGAAATGTGTGATCCGGAATCTATATAAAGACACTGAATTATAATTAAATATGCCGCTATCTCCATAAAGAATCTTGAATTATGTGACATACTAGATATCATCAAATATCCTACTTTTTTGAATTTCTCGCATTTGAATATTCCTTTCATCAATTGTCATTACTCATAATTCGAACACTATTATAGTAAATACCCACTAAACGTGTTAATTGCTATTTTACGCGTCGTGCACACATTTTACACGTGCAAATATTTGTTTAAAATTAAATAAAGATGCAAGTTTCAAATAAATAAATAAAAAAATGAAAAAAAAGAAGAGGCGGGATTACTCACAACCAACTCATCCGTCTCCATATCTCTTCCCAACTTCACTTTCCCATGAACACCTCTTCCAACTTCTCGTATCAGCATATACTTGTTTATCATTTTCTTTCCAGTCGTTGGGTCATATTCCTTGTTAATTGTATGCGTCTCCTTAACTTCAAAACCATGTGCTGTATTACTACGTTGATGTATTATTCTCTTATTGTTTTGATGTTGTTGTTTTTGTTGCGCTGAAGCAAGTGAATTTGAAGTGGTAGCAGTAGACAGTGAAGAGATGGATGAGCGGTTACGACTATTATTGTTGATATTGTTACCACTATTATTATTATCACCATCATCATTACTATTACTCGAAGAGAAAAATGAAAAGATGGATTTTGAGGAAATATGCGACATAGAAGGATTCTTCGAAAAAAAGTTGCCAGGCGATTGAGGTGAATCTGGTGGATGCTGAGGATCACTAGAATAATCAACCGAGAGAGAATCTCGCCTTGAAGTTGTTGAAGAAACCTGACTTGCGTGCGAGAAGCTTTGGCTTATGCTACCCTCATTATTTTGTTCGTTACTGTTTGGCGTTTGCAAGGGAGATTTAGGCGTTGAAGTTGCTGTTGCTCGCATAGGCTTCAAGCTCAAACGTAATCCTTTCTTTTTTTTACTTGTTGAATGAGAATCCGAACTAAGATTCACAGATTGGTGATTATAGTGTTGAGGTTTTTCCTCGTCTCCCGAAGAAGCAACCGAAGAGCCACTATGATAGGAAGTCGCACTAGTTGAACCTCTTCTATTCCAAAAGTTTATCGGGGAAACGGGCTCTAAATTAGTGCTAATTGACACATTTGAGCTGGTGTGGTTAAGAGCAGCACTCTCCACACCAATTTCTGTCGTCATCAAAGAACTGGTTCCGTTGCTACCGCGATTATCCATCTTTGGAAGAATGGGTGGGTTTTGGTTTTTTTGATTTTGATTGTGTTCTTGTGTTCTAGAGAAATCTTGTGACGACACAATGCACAAATGGTATATCGATTTTTTGATATGCATTGCATGCATGTATTCTTTTAAATACCAGACATAAATCAAGTGACTTCTATTTCATAAAACCCTACTTTACCCCGGGCAGTACTTAGGACAGTGTCGGGAAACCAAAATTGCCGGGAAGACAATTCTGTCCCTACACCACCAATACCTTACCCTGATCGGACGTAATGAAAAATTCAGAATCAAAATTAGGAAATTTGAAATTTTGTTTCATTAAACTGGTCTCAAATCGCAACGCATGAAAATTTTTTGATAGAACACATTTTGCATTACTTTGTTGCTACCGATTATAAATTTCGGCACTGACCCGGAAAGATCACCTGATTCAGCCATGTCCCCTCCCCTAAAATAATCACTTGATTTATGTCCCTACCCTAACAATAAGTCATGCGATCTGATTTGAATTTATCATACGTGAAGTAGGTTCGAGTATCTTCTACACATTCTCGAATTCAACAGCTATAAATATGTTAATAAATCCTCTCTCGCTTTGGAAAGAATATTTTGATAGACATGGATAAACAACTCTTAAAGTGGGCCATAACGAATTCTAACACTGATACTGCGGAAGGTGAGCAGCAACAACCTGCGCCTGACGTTAAAGAGAGAGGACAAAGGAGAATTGTAGTTTGATTTTTAATTTTATCTTACCTATAAACTCTAGACTGAAACATGCTCAAGCATTTCTTAAAATTATTTCAAAATTTGATCAGGATCCTGAAATCATAGATGCAATATTGGGTAAAAGTGATGCTGTTCGCATGAAAGGTTAGAATTAATTATCTTTAACAGTAAAATGGCGGTTTAATATATCTCAATAAGAGTGTATGTTAAGGCTTTCTTCATCTGTTACGATTTCAAATTATCTACTTAATAGAGGCTATTGCTTCGATTTCTGACCCTAATGAAACCGTGGAAAATAAAGAAATTGCTTTTGACAATTTGGAAATGGTAATTCATCTTTCAATTGATTACTTTGAATCATGATTTTTTTCGATTCATTAATCTTTTTTTTACATACCTTTTAGTTAGTTGAACAAATAGATAATGCGAATGGTAAGTTAGAGGATGATCAGATGATGAATTTTCTTTAATGAATTGACAACTTTTATTTATCGAATCAACAATTCATTAAAGATATCGAAAAAATGAATCTATGGCCGAAACTGATTTCGTTTCTTTCGTTTGCGGAGACTTCGCTGCGCATACAAGCATTATGGGTGTGCGGAACTGCTGTACAAAATAATATTAAAGCGCAAAAAGCGGTACGTATACACTTAAAAAACTTCTAAAAATAAGAGAAATGTATTATGATTATTGATTTGATTTGGTTTGAATTTAAATAGTTTATTGATCACGGAGGACTTAGAATCGCACTTGAGATGCTAAAGAATACGAATGAAGATGGGGAAGTAAAAAGTAAAGCATTGTATGCTGTCTCAGGTATGTGTAGGTTGGTATTCGATTATTTTTTAGATTCATAATTAATTAAGAGAGTTTTACTTAAACATCCCAGGTTCGATCAAACATTACACACCAGGACTAGTACAATTCGAAAAAGAAGGCGGATATGAATCATTATTAACATTACTGCAGACTTCAGATAGTGAGTGTGAATTTTTCCTCACTAGATCATTCAATTAATAGCCAAGGCGATCATTTTTTGTTAACAATGATTTTTTCTTTTAATTAATTGAAAAAAAAAGATTTACCAACTCTTCGAAAAACAGTCTTTCTGTTTAATACCCTTCTTTTGCAAAATCCTGAGATTGTCGCAAAGAATATCGAGGAAAAAGGTTTATCAAGACAAATGATAAAAATACTCGAGCAGTATGGTGAGCAAGATGAGGATTTGACTCATAAGGTTTAGTATTATTTTTAGCATCTTTTTCAAAGATCAAAAAATCTTGATTGAGAGTATGCTCATTTTTTTTCTTTGAAATAAAGATCCTAGTCACATTCCTAACCCTACTACGAAACTCGCCAAAATCATTGAGCCCCGAAGAAACTTCAGAACTCAAACACTCACTTCCCGAACTGAAAAAAAAGTACGGTAGTGATGTCATGTTGAGCGGTGGAGAGTGGGATGAGTTGGAAAAGAATTTATCAAATTGAACAGAATGTTTTTTGTATTTGAAAGAAAAAAATTGGGTCTTGTTCTTAATTTGGTTATGATATGACGATGTGTAATTTCGCATGTAATATCCTTTAATTATTTCTTTATTTACTCATTATTGTAATTGTAATGATAGAACAACATGAAACTGAAAGATCGGCAGAAAATCCCAGAATTTTTTAATGATCTAAAATTTTATTAAAGCGTACAAAGATGTCTCGTCTTCAGTCTTCTACTTTCTTTTCTAAATTAATTCACTTAAATGCCAACACTAAAAATGTAATAAGGAAATGGAAATGTGATTCGTATTCATCATTACTAGGAGAAAAGTTTATTGGAACTTATAACAAGGATTCAAGTCGACCGCATAGATTGTTACCTATATTCAAAGAACTACCGACAGAAAACTTGGTGCCTCCGGTAATACCGGAACAAAAATGGACACCAAATTCTATTCGTCTGGGTGTTCTTGCGCGTAAAAAAGGCATGACTGCTCTATGGGATGAGTGGGGCGTTCGAATACCCGTAACCGTTTTTCAGGTGCCGATTTTTTTCGCGAAAAACCCCATTTATTTCGAACATGTTATTCATAATAAATCCGATGATAATTCAACAAGTTAGAAAATTGTCAAGTAACTCAAGTAGTATCGCATGGACCAAATGCTCGGCGCAAAAATATAGTTGATATACAAATTGGATGCACAGATCGCAGACGTCCCGAAAGATACATGACCAGAGCTTTGATTGGTCATTTCCGAAAAGTTGGTTTGGCTCCCAAAAAATACGTGGAGCTGTTTCATGTTACGCCTGATGCAGCATTGCCTGTTGGTATGTAGGATGTGTATGCTTCTTAAATTTATTGATGGAATTCGATGTTTTGCGCATGATCACTATGTTATGATGATGATAATAATAATAATAATAATAATAATAATAATAATAATAATAATAATAATAATAATAATAATAGGAACAGAATTAAAGGCTGCACATTTTGTGCCAGGACAATTTGTGGATGTTCAAGGAACAACGCAAGTATTTTATGATTTTACTTATTATTTGTAACATAAGATTATCAATAATTTTCTTTCTAGGATCAACAAAGGTTTTCAAGGTGTAATGAAACGATGGGGTTTTAAAGGTTTACCGGCGTCACATGGTACTTCGCTCGCCCACCGTTCCGCTGGTTCAACGGGTCAAAGAACGGTTTGTCGTAATATATATATATATATATAATTCTCATAACTATTAAATTTCTAGAAATCCAGCTTTGTTATTGACTTTTTTCAATCGTATATTTGTTTGACAACCAAACAAAAGGATCCCGGAAAAGTTTTTAAAGGAAAAAAGATGGCCGGGCGGATGGGCGGAAAAAAACACACCTCACATAATCTCCGAGTTATAAAAATTGATAATGCACTCAACTGTTTATACATTAAAGGTGCTGTAGCAGGATACGCGGGCGAGATTGTACGGATCAAAGACGCCATACGAAAACATGGTACTTTGGCATTTCCAAAAGACGCGTTACCGCCACCTTTCCCCACTATTCATCCAAAGGTATTAGAAAGTATGCCCAGAGAGTTGGGAGCAAAGACAGGAGGAACTGATCCTTTTTTGATCAAGGAATCTTAAATTGAATATCACATGAATTTAATTAAAGTTTGCAGATATTAATTAATTAAAAAAATTGTACAAAGATTAAAGAATTAAAGAGTAAAAAAGTTCAAGTGTTCAACTTAACGATAAACGAAACAAATAAGGTTTTAAAATATAAATTATTCAATTGTTCTTGTCTCGATTATTCTAAAGTAAAATCATGATGTTAAATTATCTGAATCTTTAGGCGGTTTTGAGCGACCTAAAGAAGTGTTCATAGATCAGTCATAGTTATGAGATGCGATTATATGACAAAAGTTATTTACTTTTATAATTTGGTTGACGTTCATACGCATTCGGACTGTCACTTCGATCACGGTTTGGCCGTTTATTGGAATGACAATGATGATGATGATCATGATTTGAATTCCCTTCATCCTCTGAACTGTCACTACTACTTGATTCTGACGAGGACTCATCAAATGCCCGTGGTTTATGGTATATACAGCATACTTTACGATTCGAACGAAATCGTGAAACATTTCAAAGCAAATTCATGTAAAATGTAACGATTCTTTGTCTGAATCGAAAAAAAGAAAGAACTTACTTTTAGATCTCTTTCTTCCTAATTTTTCATTATCAACCACGTCGTCATCCCATTTCACCTTTCGGCTCTCATTATTACTATCACTACCACATAGTTTCAAAGTACCAGAAATAATAGGTTCCTCTGCACTGTTACTTGAACCCTCACCACCAACACCTTGTTCAGCAACTTCTTCAGGATGTATTGTCATTGTGCGGGAACCATGAGTAGCTGGTGGACCCTCAGGCATCGTAACTCGAGTTCGATATCGCAGTGATTCTCCGGACATTGTGAGTTTTAAAATATTTTGAAGATTAATTGATTTGTTGCGAGTGATGATATATGTATGTTTAGAATAGTGTGTGTAACTTATTGACTTGATGCAAATATTCTAATTCTTATATAATGTCGTTTGGGTCATTTACAACCTCAAAAGCGAATATTTTCTTGCAAAATACTTTGTTATTATATCATCCTAAATCTTATCTCAAACTATCAAATAATGTTCGCATAATTAAAAGAGATCTAAGTAATAAAAATCAAATCAAAGTTCGACTAATCAAACCAGTAATAAATTTAGGGCAACCAGGTGATGATAGTTTTAAAATTACCTCGATTTTAGGTTGTCTGTCATCATTGATTTAATGTACTCTGACAAACAACGACGATAATTTAGGAGATGAGGTTTCAGTTGCGAGAGGTGTGTATTGTTTTTGTAAATCTCTTATATCATTAATTTACATAGACATGTAGATTTAATATTTTATGATGGATGAATCAGGTTATATGAGGGAAGTATTATTTCCTGAAGGATTAGCACGTTATATTCTTTTTTCCAATGTGCCAAAGAGGATTCTCAAAGAAAAAATGAAAGGAACTCCGACAGAATCAGATAAAATTACAACAGGAACGATGAAACTTGTGCGCTTTAATTTTCTCCAACTTTATACTATTAGTGATCTTTGCTTGCGTTCTTTCACACATTATTATTCATCAAAGATTATGCTAATTGATGCCTATTAGTTACCACTTCCTGGTGTAAAACCTGAAGATTGTTCACCCGAGAGAATTCATCGCATACAAGTCAACATTGCCATCCTTACCCATCTTCCGATGTTACATTTTGTGCGCGATGTCTCTCATACAGTCTGGAGCAATTTTGGAAATAGTTCGGAAATCAATCCACCCGTAAAGATGAGACACGTCGTGCAAAAACTTGCGCAATATGGTGCAGAATTGGAAGAAGAGAACATGTATTTTCCTAACTATATCAAGAATGAGATTAGAACATTTGGCGAACATCAATGTAGAATAGTGTTTCCTGAGGTTCGGCAAAACATGTGGTTGAAGGTTATTGTGGAAAAGAAATAATATGCCCTCTTTTTTAACTTCAATAAATATACGCCAGTTTTCAATTTGAGGATAAGCTTGTTAAATATTTGCTTGGTGAAATATGTTATGATAATTAATTATTACTATGAAAAAATTTTTTCAATGCAAGTACAAATATTTAGTCCCGTATAATTTGCCAATGAAGTTGAATCAATCAAATATCAAGAATAATTGAAAAGAAAACAATGCCAATCATCTTCGACGTTTATGCTCCCTACTTTCACTGCGCTTACGTGACGATTCAGAAGAGCGTCGCTTCGATTTTATATTGCTATTAGCGCGATCTGTTGACAAGCGCCTGCGATTATGTGAACTTGAGCTCGAAGAGCTATCAAATAATTCAAGTTAATAGAGAATACGTAAAGTTGTTTCTAAAACTCGTATTACCTTGAATATCTACGCGTTCTTTCACGTGATCTACTTGAAGATCTAGTTCTAGAGCGCGAAGATGAAAATTTCCGTTTCGTTCGAGAACGAAGATAATCTGAAGAACTCGATCTGAAAATGAATCCAAATAATCAGGAAAAAATTCGATAGGGTATTATAAAATGAAACTAGAGGACGCACCTCGAGTGCCTTTTTTTCTGATAACTTGAAGAAGAATAATGAGATCTGCTTCTCGGTGAAGATCGTGACCGGGAAATGCTTCGAGAACGTCGACCACTGCTATATGAACTACTACTATTACGATGATGTGGATGCTCAGATTAGTTTTCTCTTTTGTAGAAAGTGATCAATAATAACTTGATATATATATTCAAAGAACTATTTAACGATAATTTAAAGTGTCGAAAGTAAATCAACCTCGATATTGAACGACTTCTTCGCCTATATGATGGTGAGCGTGAATTCGATAGCGAACGCTGTCTTCTTGAACGTCGGGTTCTTGAATGTGACCTCGAACGAGATCGTGAAGATGAAATATTAGACTTTCGTCTTCCACGATTTAACGAGGCTCGCGGACGTCGGGTTCTCGAGTGTGACCTCGAGCGAGATCGCGAAAATGAAACATTAGACTTTCGACTTCTACGATTTAACGAGTCTCGCGGACGTCGGGTTCTTGAACGTGACCTCGAGCGAGATTGTGAAGATGAAACGTTAGACTTTCGTCTTCCACGATTTAACGAGTCTCGCGGACGTCGGGTTCTTGAGTGAGACCTCGAGCGAGATCGCGAAGATGAAACATTAGACTTTCGTCTTCCACGATTTAACGAGTCTCGTGATCTGATATTTGAAAGGCTTTTCAAAATATAAATTAATATCCAATCAGCATAAATTATCGGGCAAAGTTGAAATATATAAATACATCTTTCTACCTTTGCAAATTTCGAGTCACGATTTGGGTAGAGACAAGAGATATTTCCTCTTGAGTCAGACGCTCCAATTCTTGCTCTCGTTCTTTTTGCATTTTCTTTTTTTCATCAACCTTTACTACATAAAATTTAACATGAAATTAATGAATATATGTGCAAATTAGAATATATTATTTAAAAAAATAATATAAACAGTCTGAATCTTACTTTGCTTATTTAAACCCATTTGCGTTCTTAACCGTAATTTTTCAGCCGGAGACAATTTTTTTTGTGGTACAGCTTTTGAGGGAACTGAAACTGAACCTGCTCCGGATCCCGTAGATGTGGGTTTCACAGATCCTAGTTTCCTTCAAACAGCAGAAAATTTCGAAAATTTGAAATAGTAAGAAAGTGATTCGAGGAAAGACTGAGCTCTTAAGACCTCAAAAAGGTTATTATTATTGCACGATTATTGAATTTCGTTCGTTCTAGTAAAAAAGTCCTTGGGTCGTACACATTAATAGTGTTTCCATCATCGGGTCCTCCACCACAGTTTATGTGTGTGTATGTGTGGAAAAAGAAACTGCACCAACCGTGTTCGCGATAGGGAAGATGCAGAAATTTGTACATCACTCGTGTTTGGGATAATAATAGAATTTTGTGATTCGGGAAGAGGAGATTCTTCTGAATCACCAAATCTAATAATAAAGTCTTCTTCATTAGCATCGATATTATCTTTGTTGCTTCGGTCTTCGGACGAACTGCTAGAAGTATCACTAAAAGCAATAAAGAGTGAGTTAGTAAATAACAAAACAAATTTTCGTCCAAATGAATCATTTTACGTCTTACGTATCGGTATAAGGTTCGTAAGTGGGAGAATCTCGCGTGGAATAAGATCTAAAGCAATGAATTTTCGTTGACTAAAACTTTAACGACAATTTTTTTTTAAGAAAAAAAAAGTACTTACCTATTTTGAAAAGCTCTCTTATCTCTTCGTCGTCCCTTTCGTGATCCATGAGAATGGCGACGAGATTTTCTCTCCTTGATCTATATATATTTATGAATTGGCGGGGACTGATCAACGAAAAATTTTTCTATTCGCAATATAACAAATTTATTTTACCTTTTCAGTTTCTTTGAGTTCATTGGCTTTTTCTTGTCTATCGCGTTTAGCAACACGCAAAAGTCTTGTGTAATCTGGAATGTTGTATTGTCGGCCCATTTCGTTTAATGTTTGCCGATCCTTTTCAGTAAGATTTTCGACATAATCTAAAATATCCTCCTGTAAGAATATAAAGTCAAGGAAACATACATCTTTTGATATTATTATAATCAATAGAGAAAGTTAAAAATGTTATTGTTATATAAAGAATATCATCTAAAACGTGAGTCTCTTCTTCGTCACTTGGTGATGCATTGCGTTTCTCAGTTCCATAATCATAACAGAAGCCGGATTTGGTGCTGCTCTCCGGTTTGCTATAAAGTATACGAGAATCAAATAAAACAACCTGCCATAGAAAAAAATCAAATAGCTTTAATAATACATAACATACTGATCTTGCAATTTTTTCATTAACGCTTTATGCCGTTCTAGAAGGCTTGTCCATTCAGCTTCGTTTTCTTCTAGACACTCTTTTTCTGACACTGAAAAAGAGGAAGCCGTCAATAAAGGTAATAAAACAAGCCATTATCTAAATCAAGATCTTTAATACCATTACGCCGCTCATTTTCTACCAACTCGCGAAACCTTTCGAAATTCAACTCCTCTTGAATATCACGTTCATCATTTGGCATTTGTTGATTCACGTTGGGAAAATCAACAGGAAGAAAGTCCAAAAGCGAACGTCCGTCGAAGCTGTTGGAAAATATCAGAGACGGTAAAATAATTAAATAAATAATTAGCTTAAATATAAAAATCAAAAAAATTCATATTTACCGATCAATTCTAGTTTCATTATCGCCTTCCCAAGTCATTCTAACAAAGGATTTCAATAAGTTTTCATGGGCTTGGAAAAATTATATAGCAAGCAGGCAAACAACTTACAGTGACTTTTCAGGGTTTTCATAATAAAAGTGCTGTTCGGCGTCTGGATAAAGTTTTATACCAGTTCCTGTTAGACGAAGTAGTTGACTAGGGTCACCAAGCTAAAGTGTAAAACACAGAAAGTAAAGTAGGCGTCTTTTTTAACCAAAGATTATTTAAACCACACGTGCATATAAACATACCCGAGATTCGTAATATGCTTTACGTCTTTCGGCTCGTTTTTTGTGATCAACCATCAACACCTTTATCTATAAAAAGACAAAGTATTGTAAAGAAGCATTTTCGAATAGGCTGACAAAGTTACAACATGAAGAATTGAATCAACTTTTTTCTCTTGTTGTCTCGCTGCATGCCACATTGTTATTCTTTAATGCTGAATGTAACAAGAAGTTAAACAAACTACAATGTATTATAAGACGATCACTTTAAAACGACATATACATGATCTACGCGAATATTTGAAATCAACTATCAACATTGCTTGCGAAAAGCATGCCGAATAAACTCAGGATCAATTTCTGTAGCGCGTTTTAAGTTTCCTGATTTGTTTTTTTAATATCACACTCCCTTGCCATCCATGCATGCCAATAACAAGATCAGTATTGTGATCAATAAGCTGTCTTTTAGATGAGTTAAAACCAAGAAGAGCCTGGTTGGTCTTTAGCTCTTTTCAGATAACAATTACATCAAATGATAAAGATATTTCTTTCTCTTGAAAAAGTAATTATAAAAAATAGAATTATAAAGATTTTTTTAATTATAGCTGGAAAATTCAAATTGAATAATTATAAAAAAAATATAATTATAAAAAGATTCAGGTTATATTATATATTTATAAATATTATATTTAATCTTTTAAAAATATTGCTTTAATAATATTTCAATATTGAATTGATATTTTATATAATTAATTTAATATTTGGATTAGTATTGTATCTTAATATAAAAATTAATAATTACTTCTAATAAAAATCATTTAAATTTTAATCAATCTTTATAATTTTTTTATATTAAATAAAAAATAATTTAAATTAACTTTTTATACTATTTTAATTCTATTATATTTTAATTTAATACTTTACTAAAAAAAAAACTACAATAAAATTATTTTTTTAAAAAAAAAGATATTTTAAATATTATTACCATCAATTTATAATATTATAACTTCAAATTATATAAGCAAATTGTTCTAGATTTAATAAATATATATTTTAAATTTCATAAAAATTAAATCAATAATTATAAAGATATTAAAATTCAAAGTTTAATAATTAAATTATTTATTATGTAATTTTTATATTAATTTTAATCAAATTTTATATAGTAAAATTTAAGAAATAATAATTGAAAAAAGTTATTATTAGTAAAAATTTTTTTTATAAAAGATATATAATAAAAATTTTTATATTTAGATAAATCTCAATATCTAATAACTTAATTAAATAAAACAGAATCAAAAATTTTATTTTGAAAAAATAATCTATTAATATTTATCTGATATATCAAAATTTTTACAATAAATCATACAAATAAAAATATAATAAAAATAAGTTATTAATAATTATAAATTTATTATTAAATTTATAAATAATTCTGATTATTCAAAATATCATAAATTATAATAAAAAACTCAAAATTAATTACAAGAAATTTTATAAAATATTAAAAACTTGTAAAATAAAAATGATAATAAAGAAGTAAAATAAAAAATTTATAAAATTTTACATTTTAAAAAATAGAAAGAAAAATAAAAGAAAAAAAATAAAGAAAGAGAAAAAAGAAGAAAAAAGCAAAACTAAGAAAATATACAAAAGTAATAATAACTTTTATATTTATCTTTTAGTTAATTAAATTATTTTTTATTTAATTAAAATTTAGAATTTCAATTAATCAATACTTTAGCTCAAAATTATAAATTTATGGAAAATCTAGAATTATTACACATCGTCGATCACTAAAAATGGTAATTCTATATATGGTAAAACACCAGACTGTAGTAGCACTGGGGATCTGCAGCTAGAAGTTTTGGTCAAGAATGTTGTTGTAAGTTTAACTGTAGGTGTTTTATATAATGTTGAAATATAACGCATTGCTCTCCAAACAATCACAAATTAAAATATATTACAACATAGCCAATAAATAAAAAAACCAGTCGCCTTTTTTATTTAACAAATAAATAAATAAATAATTGGTTTTTGAAGTAAAAATTAAAAGGAGAAGAATTTGATCATTCAATTCTCATTGATCGTAATTGTGATTCAACTCCTTCAAGATCCCAAATCACCAATTTTCCATCGACTCCACTAGTAGAAAAGTGTGTCACATTGTCACGTTGTCCGATATATGAGCGTATCAAGCTAAATTATAATTTGCAATGAGTATATTACTATAGATCATAAGGTCAGAGATAAACTTTATAAAACATACGAAATAGTATTCTGATGAATGGTGCTCAAATCTGTGTCATTAGTACCACTAGTTTCCGTGTTAATACCCAACGCGTCCATTTGTTTGAATCTAGTTAACGCTGTCGTTTCGCCGATAACTCTCTTTTTTCCGGCATCAATAACTTTGGAGAATTTCCTAATTTATTTTTGATTTAAAGTAAATTTTTCTGGTATTTCATCATATAAAGACAATGTCATTTATACCAATTTTGTCCATCACGACTCTCAAATAATACCGGCGCGCAATCATATCCAGTTCCAATAATCTTATTTTCCGTTACCCAAAGCAAACTCAAATATGGCAACGTGGCTACTTTTATATTCTTTTGAGAATTACCAGGGTAAACGATGCTAATTTGAGAGTCATGTCCTATTATATTAATAAGCATTATGTATTATATTATGTATTATAATCAATATAAAAATGGATAAATTCGTCAAAATAAATACCAGTAAAAGCCAAAGCATCGCCGCTAGGGGAGAACGCAACACTATGAATCCAACCACCATTTCCATTTGTAAATTCACCACACACTGTATTAAATGGCAATTTGTCACCCCACACTGAAGATGGTGGTCTAATCTCAAATAAATACATTCAAAACAAAATCTTATTTATCTAGTAAAAATACATATATATATATATATAATGAAAGTTAGTAATAAATACCTTTGATCAACTCCTTTAATAAAAGCAGAGAAGACACGTGCCTAAAAAATATCAAATTAAGATATATTTTCCATTGCTTTAAAGAATATATAGTAGATTGTCATATAAAATAAAATACCCCACACCTTAAAATCAGCACTTCCAGCAGCCAACAGAACATTATTCGGGTGCCAATCAAGACTCAACACCGTGCTCCTAATCGGTTTCTTTAACAGTTTACAAACCCACCAATCATTAGACTCTTCAAAATAACCAATGGAAATACATCTAGCACCGGATGCCACAGCAAATTTATCTTCCTTGGGTGACCATTTAACAAAAGTGGCTGCTCGATTAATTCTAAGCAGTACGAGCGTGGGTTTCCAGATTCCAGAGTCAGGATCAAGGTTCCACACATATGCATTACGATCTTGAGAACATGATACTATATGTATACAATGTTTTGAGGTAAATTAAACATACCAAACAATTGAATAGCAAAATAATCAATAACTAATTCTTAATTATAATACATCTAACTACCGATTCGATTCGATTCTGGTGCCCAGTCAATACCGGTTACGAGCTTGTCATGCTACCAAATTGATAATTAAATTAACTTTTTCCATAAAACTTATCGAGGTTTCAAATTTTATTATTATTCAGATTTCTGCAAAGTATATGTGTGTGGTGTATACCTCTATAAGAGTATGCAGCAAATTCCAACCCGTACCACTTTTCGTATATATTTGAACTTCGTTATTATTAGGACATATTGCAACCTCTATGAACCGAAGAATAATAATGATAGAAGTTAGAAAATTCAATTTTGAAAAATGTGCTTATGTATATTTTACTTTCTTACGTGTTCTGTCCTTGTTAAAGGCATGGGCAGTAATAGGACCAAAATTGAATTGATGAATTTCTGTTGGAGACATATTTTTATATATCTTCTGAATTATTGCTAGTCGAGTTATCCAGATTATTTTAAAAATCATGTGAAAGTTCATGATTGGTTGAACCAAATCATGTGAATTAATATGCGAAGTCTAACGTCGGGCAATGTGACATAAATATTTATTTATATGCCGTATCTCATATATTATCATAATCAATATCGATATTACTGAATAGGAATGCGCGAATTTTTGATAATATTGTCCACTATTTTTTTGCCAAATCTAAATTTTACAGTCTTTTTTCCGTATCTAACCTTGACCTTAAACCATTAAATAAAATTTTCCGGGCTGCGCCACTTTGGCATATTCCAGATGTCAAAATGAAACGATAGAAATCATCTTATAGAAGATTTAAATTTATTATATTTAAAATATTTAAATTTATTAGTTACATAAAATATATATATTGTATTTTCATATGTAGCAATTTTAATAGTTATCATTTTGTGGAAGATTTATTATATTTAAAATATTTAAATTTTTCATAGTTACAGTATATAATACAAAATATTTAAATTTGTTAGTTACATAAAATATATATGTTATATTTCATATGTAGCAATTATTGGACAGTAATTTTTTTTGGTGTAGCGTTTTCAGCTTTCGGAATCTTTACTTCCAATAATCCATGTTCAAATTTTGCTGCTATCTCATCGGACTTTACATTTGATGGCAACGAGATAGTACGCGCGTAGTTGCCGTAACGACGTTCTTGAATATGTGCATTGCCTTCTTTATATTTTTGATCTTGTTTTGTTTCACCAGAAATATGGAGTACGTTATTGCGCAAATCGACGTTTACGTTCTCTTTTGGAACACCCTAGTAATTAAATAAATTTATTTTATTTATTTTAATATATAGTTGACAAAAAGAATCTATAAAACAATAAAACTTACAGCTAATTCGGCATGTACTACAAATTCTTTATCTGTTTCGTAGACGTCAAGAGCCGGAGTCCAGGAAGTAGCATTAATTGCGCTCCGAGTACCAGCACGAACATTTCCGCCGCGTCTGGCTGTATTCAGGTCTGTGAAGAAATTAGAAAACACATTGGAGATTTGGTTTTCGAATTGTCGAAGTTCTGGATCGTGGTAGAAGAGTGCCATTGTGATTATTTGCTCCTTTAAATTTTTAGTTTTAGCTTGAAGAGAAAGTGAAGACGACGAATAGCTCAAATATTTATAAAAAATTCAATCTATCATTCCAGAAAATTCACGAAAAATTCATGATGATCAAAAACGGATAAATCTAGATTGGATTAAGGTGATAGAGTTCTAGATCAATCACCAATCATTCCAGAAAATTCTCACGATTAAATCGATTGCGAATTTGTTTATCGTATTATTGGATTATGACGTAAGAAATTATTCAAAGTCAGAAATGCGAGAAAGCAGATAATTATTCCTATGATTTCATTTTGTTCAGATCAGATTGTTTTCTTTTGACATAATATAAATTGATGTAACTATATTATTTTTTTGTTTTTCATTATTATTATCAAAAATTAAATAACAAATTATTTTGTACTTTTTTTTGTACAAATATTAAAAGATCACATCTCTTTATAGTCATATTTTTTTATAGTCATTCTTATATTTCAAGTCAAGATGACAAAGCTAATTTACTATTAATAATAGAAAAAGAATTAAAGAATAAATATAAATCAATTCAAATTGATAAAAACAAATATTATAAAAGATTATACTTAATAAATAAATAAAATGATTATCAAATAAATTAGAACAGTTATTATAAATAAAGTTATTATTATAATAAATTATATAAATTACTCAATAATAATTAGATTAACAAATTAAAAATTAAATGAATTAAAAAGTAAAATTAATATATTTTTAAATATTAAAAATTTTAAAAGAACTTTTTTATTTTATAAATTGATAAAAAATTTTTAAATATATTAATTTCTTTATATAATAACTCTCATAATTATAAAATCAGGAAATCAATTTTATTAATAAAGTATAGTAAAAATTAAAATTTTCTTTTATATTAAACTTTATTTTTATAATTATTAAAATATCTTAATATTTTATATATATATATTTTTAAATTTTAATTTTAATAAATATTTAATAAGTATCTTTATATAAGACTTATCTTATAGAAATATTATTAAGTAAAAGATATATAGAATATTTTATTATTTTTCTTAATTAATTACAAGTTATTATATTAAAATAAAGAATAATTAATAATAATTAATTATTAAGTGATATAATTAATTTTATTTCTTTTCATTATTTACTTTTAAATTATTTATTATAAATTTGTAATTTTTAATCTTAATTTTTTTTTAATATAATAAAGTAAATTTATTATTAATTTCAAATTAAAATAGAAGAGCTTTAATATTTTAAATTATTAAAATAATAAAAAATAGATTCTATTTCTTGAAAATTAATTATAAATACTTCTTTAAAATTAAAATATAAAAATCTAATATTATTAAGAAACTTATAATTTTTTTTAATTCTTTTAAATAAAGAATTTCTATATTAATACTTATATTATATTATTTAATTATTTTATTATTACAGATATTTAATAATTAATATTCTATTATAAGTTTCATAAAGTTATGATAAACTTTATTTAATTACTTAACTTCTTATAAATATATATAATTATTAATAATATTATTTAGTAATATTTCTTTAGAATTTTTTAAGAGAATTAAATATGATTAGATTTTTTTTATATTATTATAATATAAATTTTTAGTAAAGTATTAATTAATTATTTATTATCAATTACTTCATATCATAATATGATTAAATGATTAATTATTTATATCTTATTAAATATTAGCTTCAGAAAATATTATTTATAAATATTTTTAGAAAATTTTATAAATATAATAATTATAACAAAATTATTATAACAAAATTAATAAAATTATTATAGCAAAACTAATAATATTATCATAATAAAACTAACATTATAATATTAGCTAAAGTAATATTTAGATTATAATAAAAGTAATATAAGTATCATAATAAAAATATTATTTATATAATCTTTAAAATATATAAAAGTGATATATCTTAACTAGTAAAAAAGAAATAATTCAGAATAATTAGTTAATTAGTTTAGTTTGAGTTTTATGAGTTTAGTTTTCAATTTATATTTTAAATAAATTATAATTTAAGAGAATTCTAAAAAATATCTCTTGTAAAATAGATCTTGATTAAGATTTATAATTTTATCTTATTAATAAACTAATTATATATTTGTCTTTGAATTATATTTTGATTAATTTAAAGAATACTATTGTTATCTATCTTTAGAAATAATCTTTGATAATTTTTAGTAGAAAGAAATATTCTTATTAATATACTATAAAGAATTCTCTGATATTATAGTTATTAATAAAAATATATATTTTTGATAATTTAAGAAATATATTTATCTCTTATATTAATATTCATATCAAAAAGATAATAACTTTTTAGTACTCTCTCTGTAAAAAAATAATTCTAAAATGATAATCTAATTTAACTCAAATTAAAATAAAAAATTCTTTATAAATTAAATTAAAATTAGTAAAAAGTAAAAGTAACTAAAGAAATAATTTTTCAATATATCAAAGTAAATTCAACTAAAAAAATCAAAATAGAAAGAAAAAGACTTTTTACTTAACTATTTGCTAAATTATATCTTGAAGATTATAGTGATTTAAATTATCAAATTTAGGAAAAATTCTTTTATTTTTATCAAGAAGTAATATATAATAAAACTCAAATTAAGATAAGAAAAGATTTTGTAATTTTAATTAAAGATAAAACTAATCTATTAACAGAATAAGTACAAACTTATCTATATTAACTAGAGATAGTATAATAAGTATATAATACTTATTTATTATCTGTTATAATATATTATAACTTTAAAATTTTATAAGTCATAACTAGTTACAACTAAAGATAACTTCTCAACTGTTATAATGTGGTGATAAATAAAGCATCACCTAGTTGTAACTAGTTGTGACTTATAAAATTTTGGAGTTGCAACATATTGCAATAGGTGATAAATAAGCATCATATACTTGCTACGCCATCTTTAGTTACAATTAAAGATAACTTCTTAACTAATTATAACTTGTGGCAGTTAATCAGAGAATTGTGATAGAGTTATAGTAGCCAATCAGAGAATTATAATAGAGTTATAGCTAGTTACAGCTTCTATTACTAGTTGTAATTAAATAATACTTATTTATCATTATATTATAATAGTTAAAAAGTTATTTTTAATATTAATTATAATAATAAATATTTGAATTCAAAGATAAAAGAAGTAAATATTTAATAGAACAAAAAAAAATAATAAAATCTACTTATAGAAATATCTAATTCAAAATAATCAAAATCTAATAAAGAATTATTTAATATCTTATAATAATTTGAAAAATATAATTCAGATACTCTTAAACAAATATTAATATAATTATCACTTAATAAATATTTAGAAATATAACTAATTATTCAAGATATATCTGTTATTTTAATACTTATTTTATCAATACTACTTGAAGAAATAAAAGAAATGGGTAAATATAAGAAAAATAAAATCTTATCTTTATTAACTACTGATCACAAATTTGAAAATTTAATAAATAGAATTAGAATACTTACTATAACTTTTAAAAGATTAAAAGAAATTAATTATATTAAAATTGTAGAATTCTATAGTGATACTCAAGATTCAATTAATTAATTATAAAACTTTGAAAATATATATATTACTAATAATATTAGTAATAAAAGAAAAATTCAAATAATAGGAGCTTATCTGAAAAATTCTGCTATTATATAATTTATTAATAAAAGACTATATAATTTAGATTGATTAATAATCTAAAGATATAATAATAAAACTAATTAAAATATAAAAGAAGTATCATTTATATATTAATTTAAAAGATATTTTAAAAATCATAACCAACTGTATGAATAATAATAATAATTAAAATAAAGAAAATAATTATCTAATAAAAGTATAAAATAATATATTATAATTATTAAAAAACTAATCAGAAGAATAGATCTGATCAATATTTATTTAGATTATTTGTATATATCTTACTTTATAAATAAACTTAGATTAGAAATTAAATTCTTTATAAATTCAACTTGTTTTATAATATTAAAAAAAGTAATTAATATAATAATAGCTTATAATTCTAATTTTTAATAATATAATATTATATAAAGTAGTCTTTCTTTCTTATTAATATCATCTGTAAATACTAAAATTGGTAAATTAATAAAATAAATTGAAAGTATCACTTTCAAGTTAGAAAAATTGATAATAACTAATCAATCTAATAGTTATTTTAATAATAAAAATAATTTTATTAGATATAATAATTATGAAAGATTTGGTCATATTATAAGTAAATACAAAAATAAAAAAAATAATAATTATAATAATAATAATAATAATAACTTTAATAATAATAATAATAATTTTAATAATAATAATAATCTTAATAATAATAACTTTAATAGTAATAATTCAAGAAATTTTATTACTTATTATAATTATAAAAATGCTAGTTATATTATTAGTAAATATACTAGTTCAAGAAAAAATAATAATAGCTAGAATAATAATAATAATCATAATAATAATAATAATAGAAAAAATAATAATAATAATAAACAGAATATTTACTTGAATACTGAAGAATATTTAAATTCTTATATATATCTTTGAAAAATGAAAATGCATTTACAATTAGAAAATCTTCAATTAATAATAACTAATTTAAAAAATTATTATTAGAAAATGAAAATGAAAATTAATAAAATTAATAAATACTTGTAGATGCTATATATATAAATAGACTTATTTATAATTAATCTTGTAAGATAATAATTGATAGTAATATTATAAATAATATAATTACTCAATAATTCTTAAAAAAGATAGATTAGAAAATTTAAAGATTTAGTATAATAAATCTAATTAATATCAATAACCAGAAAGAAAAAGTACTTGAAAAAGTAATTAACTTATCAGTTACTTTAAAAACTGAATTAATCAAGATTAAAGCATTAGTAATTATAAATAATAATTATAATCT